CCGCGGTCAGACGGCCCGTTCTAATCGCCCTACAAGAGTACAGGTCTTGGTGGCCACTTCTGTCCCGCAGCAGAACGGGCTGGGACACAGCTGCACTGCTGCGAGCCACCGCACAGACCCACCTCCCTCCTGCCCACCCTTCCCTCTGCTCCGGCCCTACCGAAACGAACCCGCAGGCCCCGCTGCTGCGGTCCCGTGAAACAAACACCTTTGCTTCATAGAATCATGGAATGGTTCGGGTTGGAAGGGACCTTAAAGCTCATCCAGTTCCAACCCCCCTGCCATCAGCAGGGACACCTTCCACTAGACCAGGTTGCTCAAAGCCTCATCCAGCCTGGCCTTGAACACTTCCAGGGAGGAGCAGCCACAACTTCTTTTCCCCTGTCTTGGCTCTGCCTCGTGTTCCCTCAGGATCCCTTCTCTAACCTCTCTGATCTTACGCAGGTATTTTCTTTGCTGTTTCCAAAAGAAAAGAAAAAAAAAACCAAACAAAAAACAACCATAAATCATTCTTCAGTGGAAAGATGCCACAGCTGAGAAACCTTAGCAGAAGGGAATGGTTTAGGTGGAATGGGTCATGAGATACAGAATAGAGACACACTGACAGCGTTTGAAACATCTTCCACACATGAAGTATTTCTGTCTTCAGCTGCAGGGACCCTTCCATGTATCTCCTGTTACCCATATCAGCCATATACCACCTTTGGTTCCCGTTTGTTATTCCCTTCCCTTCACAACTGGTAACTAAGCGGCCACAAGTTTTGGTGCTTGCAAACTTGTTCGTTCACTTTCTCCAATTATCCCTTGTAACACTTCTCAAGAACTTAAGCGCTGCGAGTATCATTAGACCAAAAGGGCTGCAATTACTATGTGACCTTGTTTCACGTTAGCATGCTAATGGGCTCAGCAATCCCCCTTAACCCTGCAGGCTGCACAAGAGCCAAATCGGATCAGTAACAAATCACTAAAACGGAGCAAACCACTTTGGAGTGGTGATCACACCCCATATGACCTAATGACCAGGTCATGATTCCTTGTGCCCTTTGGGGGTCAGAGGGATGAACATAACCATGGTGTTAAAAATACCACAAACCCACTTATTACACTTCTCTCCCTCTCCAAAGAAAACCGAAGTGTATTGGTGGGAAAAAATCCTCTTTTAGTAACCCGTGTTCAAAATACATGTTTGCAGTTGTTGAGTGTGAACCCACCCTAACACAGACGATCAGAATAGTGTATTAGAAAAAAAATAGCTTTACAATCAGCCAAGTATAGATGAGGGCTACCTCATAGAACACAAATTAACCCCTAGAAGTATGCATAGCTTCTGTGAGGGTAGGCCAAGCCAAACTACAAAGGTTCTGTTCTCTTGAGCACAGATACATGGTGTCTGCAGTGCTGAATCACAGGTACTGAGAATACACTGAATCACTGTGAATCTCAATAAAAAGCAGTAAGCTTGGAATGAACTCGAGCCTTTGAGCTTTCCCCCTTGATTTCTGTATCATCTGACATTTCTGGGTAACATCAACCAGTACCTCATGTTAAACAGTATACTGAAATGCACAGTCTTTGCTTAAAAACCCAGCTAGAGATTGCCTTCCTTCCTACAAAAAAACTTTGGATTTGAAATAAGTCGTAAGATCAAAGAGCTTTTACTCAGAGTACCTCAATAAATAACAACAACAACAAAAAGTAGTAGCATCCTAATAGCAGAGCATGCGCAAGGAGGAAGGTTCCCTCTCATCTTAGGAGAAAATTCCCTTTGTGGAATGTCATCCAGCTCATTTCAGCAGCTATCTCATGACTTCAGAATTTCTGAATTCCCAAACCTTCTGGTTACAGTGGTTACATGCTGCTTGATAGGAACAGGTACTATGAGGTCCTGTATTGTTGCAGTTTGAGGCAGGGCTGGTTTTTGTCAAGTTATCAGGTACTGAATGGCAGCCCCAAGCTGCCAATAGTATTAATGCAACTTCAGAAATTCAGCATTCAAAAGTACACATCTAATTTGCATTCACAAGCAGAGCAAGTACAATTCTTAAAAGAATAACTACTGCCTAGATGCATAATTACTGTTAGCATGGAAAAATTACCATAGGTATGTGACTTTGAACCTATTCTTGAAAGGGAGACCCCAGATAAAGAAGCAAGATGTTAGTCCATGACACATTAAAGTCTCACAACTGAATTCAGACCTTTGTACATGTGGCACCCGCCCCATCTGCACAACAGTCAGTAGCATCACCCCAGGAGAGCCAGAGAACCAATCACTTCCAGGGAGACAAACGCTCACCTGAGAGCAGCAGTGGGTATTCCTGGCACTGCTGAGTCATTTGTTACTCAGCTATTTGATTAACTATAAAGGAATTTAAAAACAACAACAAACATCATAACAACAGTCTCCTCTCATCTAACAACTACAAGGCATAGCGGAACTTACCTTCTTACTAACAGAACACAGCGGTATCCTCGGGCCTGTGCCCATAATGCAGGCAAGCACTCCAGCAAAACAAAACCCGCGTCCTTTCAGAACCAGGAAAGCCAAAGAAGAAAACTCTGAAGGCAGCGCACTGCTCCAGGTGTGGAGCGGCTGGCTGTTCCCTGTCTATGTGCATCAGCCCACAGAGTACACATACACTTGGAAGAGGAAGGTCTTGCTTTCTGTCTTCTACAGGCACAACCTGTGTTTTTGGTTTTTTTTTAAAATTAAGTTTGCTCTTCCCTATTTTGGCTTGTCAGTATTGAACTGACCAGGCAGTTTCCAAATCTGCACATAAACATCTCTCTTCCCTCAGACACCTACTTGCTTCAGGCACTTCCACTACCTCCTCAGTTCCCAGGCTCCAGAAAGAGGCTGTGGTAATGAGGCTGCAGGTGATGTTCATAACAACATTAAGCAATCTTTTCAATTAGAGATTTGATGATACAGGTGCATAGTAGTTTACTGGAGTTAGCAGTCACTTGTTGGTCTGAAAAATTTGGGAATCCCTTTGCTACACTATTTAGAGCTCTTAATTACCCAAATGAGCCAATCTGCTGTTGTTTATAGTGGCCCTTTGAAATGGTGCCTTTCAGGTGAGGAAATGGTTTTACATTAACTTAATAGAACTGTAATGGGTTGACAGAATAAATCACTGTGATCTTGAGGTCTGATCCCATGAGAACCATAGCATCTTTGGTCTCAAACCAAGGCCCTTTGTTATATGGGTCACAAGAGTATGCACTTGTGTCCCACTCCTCACATAGATGCTTATTTAGTGGAACAGCTAAATGCTTGATAATGACACTTCTTTTTCCTCCTTTATCCTACAGGTACAGAAGCATCAGGGTACTTGATTTTCTTTTAATTGCTAAGCCACAAAGACTGCAAACATGTCGCTGGAAGACATCCACATGAACACCCAGGATTTGCTTGAAAAAAAACAATTAGATGCTGGAGGATTTGGAACAATCTCTTTATGCTTTCACAAGAAACATGGATATGTAGTATTAAAAAAGGTGTATACAGGACCCCAGCGCACTGAGTAAGTTACAGATCTTAGTTCCGATTTGTATCTTTCAGTTAGTCTAAGGAATCCTCTAAACTCAATGGAGATAGATCTAAATAAAGTGGAATAATGTCAGATCTTTGGATCCTGGGGAAGAGATTCTCTAAGACAAGTAATACTGGCAGCTGTCCTGCAAATTTTTATATTTTTCTCTCACAAGCCAACTTTTTTAGTTTTAACTCATTGTTCCAGTGAAGTTCCTGTTTTCTGTTGCAAGATCAGCACTACTGTGAATTGTTAAGAATCAAGGGGACTCTTGCACACTTAAGGAAATGCAGGAGCTCAGTGAGCACATGATACTTTCAAGCTTGCCAATCAATTTTCAATACAATTTTCCAACCGGAGGTGTTCATTAGGAACTAAACACACAGGAGCTATCAGCAGGACTCCAATGCCACATGTATAATACCAAGAACGTAACCCTCTCTCCCTTGAGAAAAAGAAGAGTGACCCAAAACCACTGATTTAATTCAAGGATTGAATTAGCTTTTGATTTCAGTGGATTCAGGTCACATTGCAGCTCTACTACCTCAGAGCCATGACAATCCTGAAACTCTCCCATGAGTCATCCACTAGAGAGAGACAAAACCCCATGTTCTTCTAGTTTGGGTTATAATAAATAAATTAATTGAGTTTTTATTTTGCCAGTGGAAGGCAAAGTAAGAGACTCTAGTAGTTTGCAAACTGTACTGACAGTTTGGGTTGAACACAGTTAAAATGGAAAAGCCTGGTTTGTTTTTGGGTTTGTGTTTTTACCTTCTTACTACGCAGGCTCACAAGTTTGTTATTCCTTCAAGTCTTGAACCAAAAGTCTTAAGCAAATGTACAACTGAGCATAATGCAAACAAAACAGCTGCTTTCTTCTCTGGTACTAGGGGAACAGAGGGAGAAAGGAGTTTCCTTTTAAGTCACAGGGTAGGAGAGCATTAGCAAGCAACACAGTCTCAGCATTCTTACATCCTTTTGTCCAATGACTAGAACAGGAGCAATAGCAAAATGTAGACTATTTAATATAATGGGTATTGTCCTTTAACACCCTTAGTGAGCTCCCAGCTATGTACCTGTGACTATTGCTAGGTTGTACTGAGGCCCAGGTAAAGCATTAGGCTTTGAATTCATCCTAAACCAGTAAATGTTATCACCATCCAGGATGTGAGTGGATCTCCCCTAACAAATCCATTTTGAACATGAATACCAGCCCTTCGGGAAAAAGAGCTGTATAGTTTCTTGTATAAGAGGTAGTGGAGTGTGTCTTGATCCTCTCTGTCCAAAGGCTCTTTCAGCCCTTCTGTGTCCTGATCCCACCCCAATTCAGGGATTTGGACATACACAACCAGCTGTGCACCTACAAAAATGAATGCTTACACACTTCCTGAAAAGCAGGCTTTAAAATCAGGCTGAGGAGACAGTCTCTGTGCAAGGCATTTGAGACTTGGGGAGTATAAAAAAGCTGTATTAATTCAAAACAAGCTGAAGGTAAGGTTCAGCTACAGTGGCTCTAGGGATGTTGGCATTTTTGGCCATGGGTTTCACTGTGAATCAACAGCATTTTTATCCCTGTGTTCTTTCTATCCTGGCACCTAAGTTCAGTGTAATTTCTGTTTTACAGGTATAATGCTTCCCTCCTTGAAGAAGGCAGGATTATGCGCAGACTGCAGCACGACCGTGTGGTAAAGCTACTAGGTATAATTTTGGAAGACGGAAACTACTCACTTGTGATGGAGTATGTGGACCGGGGGAACATGATGAAAGTGCTACAGAAAGTGAGCAGTGAATTGCTTCATCCATTGCCCTCCATAGGGGTGAAAAGATGCTTGAAAGGGACAGGATGTTACTGCTGTCTCCAAAGAACAGAATCTTCAGTTTCCCCTTCTCTTTTCTGTATTAAAGAGCCCACAGAGAACAGCTATGGCTTTCCTGCGTAGCACAGAGGGGCAGACCGCAATTATAGGTTCAGAGTTACAGGAGTGTTTGTAGAGATATGTGGAGAATGCTTTTGTAAATATGCACTGACTCTAGAATTACTTTAATGCAAAAATTTAGATCCAGGAAGGACCTTGGATCTTTTTTACCCTGGGTTAAGCAGAGGTACTCTTGGAAGTGAGAAAGAAACCTTTTCAAAGACTGTTTTTTAATTTGATGGTTGTAGTAGCATTTTTTAAATAGATGGTACTTCTGTTCTTTATTTTAGCTCTCCCTGCCTTTGTCAGTGAAAGGGCGTTTTGTGCTGGAGATCACAGAAGGAATGCTTTATCTGCACGAGCAAGGCTTCGTCCACAAAGACCTAAAGCCAGAAAACATCCTTGTGGACACAGACTTTCACATTAAGGTACTTGTTGTTGCATGAAAAGGGGTGGTAGAACAATTTGGCAGGAAACAAACCCCCTTGCGTTCCAGCTTATCCTCAGATATTAGAGGAGCTGGGGGCAGCTAGGCTTAGATCCTCAGAAATGCCCAGTTCAGCACTATGAGTCTGACAACAGCAGACCCTCGATTTATGGACTCACACGGCTAAACCTGCCGAATTTAGCAGCATCCGGGGGGAAATGGTGTGGCTGGTTACAGACAGACACAGTTTAAGGTGGCACTACAAGTCCAGGTGCATTAATGCCGGATTCACTCGACAGTGCCCAGCACCTGCCACCCAGTCACCACCTATGGACTCTCGTGGCCTGCCAGGTGGTGCCCAGGGAGAAATGGTGCAGCAATTCAATAAGCCAATAAGGCACTTTAATAATTCGTATGGATTGCTGGTGATAATCTGCTGTCTGCAGAAGTTATGTACAAGCATTATGGTTACAAATCACTAAAAGCACTAAGTTAGTAAAACAATTCTCTAGAGATTTCTAAGTTTCCAAGAAAGTCCTTGGGAAAGTGTAAACCTTACCCAAAGGCGTCCCTATGGGGGGGAAGGGAGGCTCAGCCCGTCAGCTGGTCCCAGAGATCAGAGGTCTGCGAGAGAGTTGTCCCAAACATCCCCCTTTCTTTGGGCCACTTTTACATTATTTTTAGCTTCAAGGTGGAGCCGGAGTGACTCCAGTCATACTTTATTGTGAGTGGTAAAAACTCTTCCATTTCCCTTTTAAGATGTAAGTTACCCTAAATTTAGAGCATAGGCTCGGGGGGGGAAGGGGTGGTGGTCTCTGAGCCAGAGGTGTGTTTTGGTGTTTCAAGGTTCACACAAGGAAAGCATTTGTCTCAAAGATGCCAGATGGTCGGCCCAGGGTTGCAAACAGAGAGCGTACCCACTTCCTGGTGCCCATGTGTCTCTTCTGCAGTGATTACTGGGCTTAGCAAAGGAATTTCCACTCCTTCCTACCCCCCGTATGGATATGCAGACCAGGCTCTCCAGGAGACAGCCTCGAGGATTCTTCACATAGCAACTGCATTCTTCCCTGGCATCTTCTTCGACATTATGCCTTTCCTTTATGTGTGAACAAGGCTGGTTTTTGATTTCTAAGTTACCTCCAGTAATTATTCTACACTTGTTAGAATGTAAATGGAGAAAGCTGATGATTTGGGTTGAAGAACCAATTTCAGCTGCTTTGGTTAGATCACAGAATCACAGAATTGCCTAGATTGGAAAAGACCTTTAAGATCATCAAGTCCAATCATTCACCTCACACTGACAAGTCCCTGACTAACCCATGTCCCTCAGCACAATGTCTACATGACTCTTCAATCCCTCCAGGGATGGGGACTCCACCACTGCCCTGGCCAACCCCTTCCAATGCCTGAGAACCCTTTCAGAGAAGAAAGTCTTTCTCATATCTAATCTAAGATGAACTCCTTTGTAGTCTAACAAGGAGACTGTAAGAGAGTGTTAACAGTGGATCACTGAAGTATGGTAGCCTATAAAAACTCTGAGCCTGAGATTTGTATAATCTTCCCCCCATCTGTGGAAAAAAAAAAATCACTAAGTGTATTGAAAATTAATGATCTACAAATAACAAAACAGCTAGAAAGAAAAAAACAAACCTTAATACATAGACATTGAAACAAAATAAAATCTTATGGATCATGTATTTTGTCCTCTATGGATCATGTCTTTTGTCCTTTACTGCTGTAATTTCTCTTCCTGCCTTTGCCTCCTCCTTTTTATTCCTTTCCTTCTTTTGACTGTTGTCTCCTTTTTTCCCTTAGTCATCATTTTTAAATGACAGCCAGCAGCTACAAAAAAAAAAAGCAGCAGGAAACTACTTCAAAGAATGGTAGTTCTAAGCCTGTTCCAAAGCCCTTCTATTCACTTTAATGGGCTTTTGGATCAAGACATATAGATATAGATCCTACTGCTGAATAAACCTGAATAGAATTTGCAGCAGTCCTTGTCGAATGTCCTGTCTCTGGTCAAGGTGAGTTGCTGAAATAATCACCCCATTACAGTATGAAACTGCAGAATAATTTCCTGTGAAGACACCTCTGTCATTTGGTATTTCTCACACATATATTAGGGAGAAGTGGTTTGACAAGGTTAATATAGTAGCAGATCCTAGTGCAGTATGAGCAGCTTGCAGATAAGAGTTATAAACTATAAATTTTTTTGCCAAAAATAATAAAATCATTATTTGCTTTAAATGTAAGTTGGATGGTTTTTGGGGTTTCAGCTTGCTTATATGGACACGACCAAACTAGGCTATCATCACAGTGCCTGACAAAGTGAACTGGAACCCAGGATCAAGATCAGAATCAGATCAGGCTTCCTAAAGAGGTTGATCAAAACTGTGTCATTTAAGGCAGCAGTATGATTTCTCTGCTTAAATGTGTCTAACATTGCCAATATTTGTAAAAGGAAATAGTTCTAGGAAACTGCAAATGTAGGAAGATTTATATCAGGTCTTCCTCTATCACATTAGACCTCCTCTCACTTGTAGACATGAACTTAGACTCCGACTGCCTCAGCAGGATGTCATTTACATTTTTATCTTCCTCTGAATACATCACCTCAAAATTTAGCCTAAATCTTCAGAAACTCAAGAGGAACAATAAGCTAGTCAGAGGCATCAAGGGAGAAAAGTGAGTTAGAAGTGAGGCAAGGTGTCACCTCAGTTTTATCTGAAGTGACTGGGTTACACAACTCAGCCTGACAGCTGCCTGTGGCAGTCCCATTTTCTTCCATTTTTCCTCTCCTGTTGACCTCCTGTTCCCTTGTGTCAGCACCGATGCTAATCTGACCACCCTGCCCTGATTTAGGAGGCCAAACCAGCAGATTACAATTTGCCTTGTTGGCAGTGCCACCCTTCTGTTGGGGAGCACTCGATTCATTGAGCCATTTGAGTGTCTTGCCCTGGGTCTTCCCAGTGTCAGGTAACTGTCAGTGCTGAAACAGAAGGAGCAGAGGAAGCTGTGGGGAAAGGAGGGAAGGATTACTTTCTTCACCACTCATTAGTCTAGTTGTAAAATTGCACCCTAAAGTTTCAGCAATATCACCTTGTCAAGTGCACAGTACCCAGGTATCCCTGCTTTAACTTATTCCATGCTATCCTTCTCCACATCTCTTTGCCATATACATAATTTTAGAGATCCTCTTCCTCCCCCTTTCTGTAGGAAGATCTAAGGAAGTTGAGTTAAATGGAATCTAAATGGAAAGAGCAGTGAGGGAGGAAGAATATCTGCCCATCTCATAGATTACTTCTGGATTTGAATCTTACCTTCTTTTCATATAGATCTTTTGTTCTGCCACAAGCACTGCAAGCAGATCTTGAATATGAATGTCAATATGAGCAAAACCAAACATTTTTTCCTTACATAGTGCGATTGTTCCAAGTGGGGTTAAGTTAACAATGAAGGTTTAGCCTAATGGTTCCCAGTTGGCAGTGATACTTTATTTAGTCAAAAAAACACTGTAAAACAGCAAATAGGTTGTCTTCCTTTCTTGTAGTTGCATTTTTTGCAGTGTTTCATTTTTAGGTAAGTCATTACCAGCTATTCATTATGAAATCAAGCACTGCATGACATACTTGTTTATCTCCTCTTCATCACAGCCCTAGCTCTGATGTGTCTCATTTTTTAGATTGCAGATCTCGGTGTTGCCTCCTTTAAGAACTGGAGTCGGCTAACCCAAGAAGAGACTGTCCGACAGAAGCAAATCAAGAGCACTTGCCAGAACAACGCTGGGACTCTCTTCTATATGGCCCCGGAGCATTTACGCTGTGTTAACGTAAAACCTGTGGAGAAATCAGATGTTTACAGCTTTGGCATAGTGATCTGGGCAATTTTTGCTAACAAAGAGCCGTATGAACGTAAGTTATTTCCAAAAGGACTTCCAAAAGTTAGGGCAGTGGATTCAAATTCACTAACGTGAAAGATTTTAGCTGTAAGTCAGACATCTTCCTCTGAAATCTTCTTTTACATATCCACAAACACACAGGGAGCTCCTTCACTATTTCTTTTGCCTACAGAAATGCAGCAAAACCCATTATCTGATAGGATCTGATAGGAAATTTTATTTTTCAGATGGTATAAATGAAGCCCAGATTTGCTTTGGCATCATGAATGGAAACAGACCAGATGTAAAAGAGATCACTGATAAATGTCCAGTGGAAATTATTGACTTAATGAAACAATGCTGGGAGCAAGAGTCAGTGAAACGGCCCAACTTTGCAGGTAAGGTGATGCTTTGGGATTATTTTTGTTACGTGTCCGTCAATACTTTATAACGAAGCAAAACAAACTAAAGTGTTTTCCTCTTAAAAGATAAATTTTTGCTTTGAAATTAGAAATAGCAATTCACATGCCCAGTAAAGCCTGCTCCCTGTACCCTGACTAAAAATGGGATCTGGTCCAATATTTACAGATTTGGGAAATACTAGTGAGTGGATGGAGCTAAGACACTTTATACCTGCTGATAATTTGTCTTCAGCATAGTATAATCTTCCTGCTGAAGAAAAGCCAGCATCAAGGGACATAGTGTATCTTGGGTATGACTGAGAAAATACCCTATTGAAACTAGCTTCAAAAGCTGTCCCAGTTTTCCACGAACAATACAACAGCCTTTCACTAGCTAATCATCCTTTCCTGTGGTCAGATCCCAAAACACTTGCAGTCCATAAAAGTCTTGACTGAATGGTCTGGGAAGGAGACTTAGAGCATTCAGCAAAAAAGTCAAAATTCTTTATCTCCTCCTGTCTCTTCTTTCTGCCAAAAACAAACCAACCCCAACAAAAAAAAACAAACCTCAAGCAAAAAAATCCCAAAACACCAAACCCATCAACAAACCAAACTACAAAAAAACCCCCTACACATAACAGGAAATGGAGGTTTGGATTTAGATGGGGCACCAAGAGCTTCATATACAACAGGCACCTACTTAAGTACTCAGAGGAAATTTGTATACCAGGAGGAACCCATCTACTATTTCCATATTTAACCTGCATAATCTACTGCTAATGGATTTAGTTTATTCTTGGACTGGGTCTTCTAATTTTCCCATATGCAAAGTACTGATAATTACCATGTTAGTAGATTATTTCAGTAATTCAACCTTTAGCAGAGACAGGCTAGTTGTTTATCAAAAAGTTGAATGCAATTGAATGTATCTGATATCTTAAAACGTGGCAACCAATCTTTTAGCCAGTCAAGTCAAGGTGCTGTTGGCCACAGATCACAGACAGAGAGCTCTCACCCTAAAAAACAATAAAATGACAACAAAAAAATCCATAGAAATCATCCTGTTCTTGTTACTATACTAAGGCTAAATGAGCCATGTGAACAGATTCCAAATGTATGTATAATTTTCCTGTTTCTGGCTTGATACAAGTCTTTATTCCACCCTTATCCATCAAAATTGTTAACAGTATAAATCACTTTTATTTTGCATTGAAAACCACTTTCACTTAGTTCTTTTCTTTTTGCAGAAATTAGTCAAAGTTACAAGCCATTTTACTATCAAAATCTAGGAAAAAATATTGAAGATGATCTGAAGAAGTTAAAAGTGAGTAATTTTCTGAGCATTTTGAAGTGTCAGTTCCCCATATCCCCTCTCTCCAACCCCAGTTATGACCAGATTCTCATGCTTTGAGACCGATCATGCTTGACTGACCTGATTTCCTGTGGTAAAATGGCTGGATTTGTGAGTGACAGGAGAGCAGTGCATGTCATTGACTTCAACTCTAGGAAGATTTTCAACACTGTCTCCCCAAATATTCTTGTATCCAAGTTCAGATGTTACTGTCTGGTGGGGCAGATGAAAACAAGTTGGATGGTGAGTCTCAGAGGGTAGTGGTTAATGGGTCCTGCTTCACCTGGAGGCCAGTAACAACTGCAGCAGTGCAGGAGTCTACTGCACTGGGACCTTCCCTGGTTTACTCCTTTGTCAGTGACCTCAGAGAAGCAATGGAGCGTACTCTCATCAGGTGTGCAGGAGCACCAGTCAATACAGTCACAAGGGCAAGTCTGCCAGCTGCAGGCTGGAGGATTGGGGTGACAGGAACCTTGTGAAATTCAGAAAGGACAAATGCAATGTGGTGCAGCTGGAATAATCTCCAACTTCAGTGCCAACTGGGGGCTGCCTGCCCAGGGAGCCACACTGCTGGTGTGTGATTCTGAGCAGCAACCTGGGCACCAGCTAAAACCTGCCTGGCAGCCAGGCAGGCCAGCAGCATCCCAGGCTGTACCAGCAGTGTCATGGGCAGCAGATCTGCTCAGCACTTGTTAGTCCTGCCATAAGAGATGGGGCTGAGGGACCAGGGCTAATTCAGCCCACACATGCAATGGCTTTGGGAGGACATAAGTAGCAGCCTGCCCCTATCTATGAGGGGTTTATTGAGAAGATAGAGCCAAGCTCTTCACAGCAGTGCATAGTAGGAGGACAAGAGACAGCAGACAAACTGAAACAAGAAAGATTCAAACTGGGTGTAAGAGAAAAAAAACCTTTTCCCCATGAGGACAGCCAGTCACTGGAGCAAGGTACCTAAGGCGGTTGTCCAGTCACCATCACTGGAGGTTTTCAACACCCAACTGCACAAAGCTCTGAGCTACTAACTCTGATCCCATAGGTGACCCTGTTTTGAGCAGGAGGTGGGACTGGGGTCCCCCAAGGTCTATTCCCACCCGAGTGACACCGACTCTTTGCAAGAGCTCCTCATATATCCATTAAGTCTCACTCACAAAACGTTATTCCTGGAGATTCAAAAGTGGCAAAATCCGATTTAGAGTAAGTGTAAAAAAAACTCTCTAAATTCTTGGTAATTTTTTTCCTGCATTCAGGCAGTGTCTAATGAGTCCTAGCCTGCTTGAGACTAGGAAGCTATACTCCAGTAATAGCAACAGGGAAAATTTGAAATCAGATTATTTCCGAGTGTCCAAGTTGGTTTCTCTTACTTTTCTGTCTGTAGGTTTATAAATCATGATATAAAGAATGATATCCTGACTGAAAATAAGAGAATGAGAACTTATTGAACAATTGGGCTGATTATGGAATCTTTTTATCACAATTTTTTTCAATTTACTCACTTCAGTAGTACTGACAGCTACTGCTGAGAACTCCTGGCATTAGGGGTTTGTGAAGTGAGGCTCAGAAGAGTACATACCCAGTTATTGTAACTAAGAAAAACAACTTCCTTTGTGAAACCATTCATTTACAGTTTTCTTTGAAGTGTTTCCTTCTGTCACCAAGTCTACAATTGTGGAAATGAAAGTTCCTGGTTTAGAGAACATGTGATGTTTATGAAGCACCAGTGACTGTTCAAAAAAAGCAATGGAGTTTTGCAAAATGAAACTGATGAAACAAACTTCCTGAGCTGATTTGACCAAACCAAATCTCAATGTGAAGTATAAACATCTTCTTTATGATAGCAGCCCCAAGTCAGGATCATGAACGATTGTACTAGCTGCTTTAACTCTGCAAATACACCTCTCAAATCGTAGTGACCAAAGGACTATTTAGAAAATGGGTCATGAGCGTGTTACTTCCTCAGGAAGGAAAGCATCCATTCTGATCAGGGCACAGAATGTGAATGCAGCAATCCAAGGCAAGTCACTGTGGTGAACTACTAGTACAGCTTCAGCAGCAACAGGAATTAGAAGGTTTGGGCATAGCCTATTTTTCCCCCCTGACCTCACTAGCAATCAGGGAAGCAGAGTCTACAGCCTCCTAACTGAAAGGACCACAGAATGGTTGAGGTTGGAAGGGCCTCTAGAAGGTGTCTGGTCCAGCCCCCCTGCTCAAGCAGTTCAGTTACTCAAGTAAAAAGCTAAGGACCTAAGGTTGCAATACACTTTAGAATGTCATCTTGTGCTTTCAGAAGGAAGTAGATTTTTGGGGAAGAGACAGTAGTTGTTGATTTTTAATCAGTGAAAGTACTTCTTGGGTTTAATTAAAAAAAAGAAAAAACACAAAACCCCCTCACACCAACAAACCCTGCTTTTAGAAATTATATGAGTAAGAAGCACTACAGGAAATTAAGAAATAATTTTTCCAGGTATTTTTTTTTCTTCCACTTCTAGTGAAGCCTGAGTTGTGGGAACATCAAAAGAATAGAACAGGAATGGATTTTGCCTTCACTCTAGTGAAGTAAGGATGAGGGTTTACAGAAAGGAAATTGTATTGCATCTTTCTGAAGATTTGCTCTGAATTCCTTGTTCCTAGTACCCTTCATAAAAGTTAATGTGGCCATGCTTGAATGTAAGTCTTCTTCCTCACCTCTTCCCTGTTGATGAAGGTATATACTAAATACAGATCCACAAAACAGGATGTTGTTCACTACCTTCACCTCACCAAGATTGCCTGCAGAAAGTCTAGCTATTAAATACAAGACAGACAATACAAAACTACTCCGGATTAAGCTCATACTCATGTAGGCAAGGGTATTGTTTGGCCAACTCAGAGTATTATATCCTGCAGTTGCATTGCAGTCCTGCCTCCCTTCATTGAAGAAAAGGTGTTGCCCATCTGTAGCAAAGCAGTGGGTATTGTCTGTCAGGCTGTGCTCTCTGTCAGAGTATGAGATCTCTTCATCCAAGTCACTTCACTGTGGAGCTGTGCTGTTTCCTCTTCTACAGGTAATCCCTTTGGTTAAGTGTTTGCCTATAACTGGTTCATTTGTTCTTTCTTACATGCAGAAAATGTGGCCGGAGTCAAATGAACTGCTGAATAGGATGCAGTCCCTTCAAATAGATGCTGTAGCAGAAGGTACCAGTAATGGTCAAATAGGTGAGTCACTTGGCACATCATTATTCACTATATTCTGCCAAAGATGAAGCTGTGTACATGTACAAAGTAAGTAATCTTACCATTAAGGGCTTATGAAGAGACTCAATTATTCAGCGCTTCAGAGAGAACTGTAATCACTGAAAAGATTAAATTTGGTCCCAGGCTCCCAAAAGTCATACTTAGTGTTTCAAATTTTCCACAATCTACAGTCTGAACCCATTTCATTTTACACTCTTTTGTCTTCCTCTCCCATGCCAATTTTTTTTTTTTTTTTTTTTTTTTTTAACATTAGACTTTTCAGCAGTCACTTTGATAACTTCTTTTCATACTTGATCTTTCTTCCCGTCCTTTTAATTGCACCAACTGCTTGGTCTGTAGGCTTTAATTTCATCAAGACTTTCCTTTTCCCCCAGTCCAGCCTCTCTTATGAACACTCTGAATATGACCAGGACACATAATTATAAGATATTCATAGAATCATAGAATGGTTTGAGTTGGAAGGGACCTCATAGATAATCCAGTTCCAACCCCCCTGCCATCAGCAGGGACACCTTCCACTAGACCAGGTTGCTCAAAGCCTCATCCAGCCTGGCCTTGAACCCTGTCAAGAAGGGGGCATCCACAACTTCTCTGGGCAACCTGAATTCCTTTGTTTATGATCTTGCTCTCTATGGAATCTATTTGAGGAACACTAATAGATTAATTTTCTCTCTTTTCTTTCATATTTTCTGTGAAATCGTGTATGAGTTGCATGTTTCTGGTTCTACAGAGCTGTCTCACTAATATGTGATGTTATAGTTACAGTTTTGTAGTAGTGTATCTGTAATTCTTTTACCAAAGTTTCTTAATGGCAAAGGATATAGGATAATATTTGCAACACTGATTTACAAGCAACAATATCAAATTCAGTAGAAATAAAATCGTGCTAAGTTTGCTTACACCATTTGAAAGACATTATTAAATGAATCATGTTAAACTGTAACACACATCTAGGAAATCTTCCCCAAAGCTAGGTGTGCCATAACTGTTCTTCAGTAGAACTGATGGACTCAGTAGGGCAGCCCCACTGCTATATTTTTAAATTAGTATAGTTACATTTCCCAAGCAGAAATAATCACGTATGACTGCAGCAGATTACAGATGCTCCCGTGTTTTAAATACAAAAGACTTTATTATGAATCTACACTGCAGAAAGATACTATCTTGACAGCCTGTCAGTCAAAGTCAGGGGTTTTTTTCCTGCAGTCAATGGGCATTACTCAGACAGTGGTAGTGAAACATATCCCACAGGATCTGTTCATACATCTCAAGCTTGCCCTGGAGAATAGATGCCATCTTTTTTTTATGCTAATACTAAATTGCTAATAGCTGTCACTTTTGATGAGGTTGTTTCAGTATTAGCTTAGTCCTCCCACTCCCCCTCTAGCAGTGGTAACAAAAGAAGCAGAGCGAGTCAGACTGAAGGTGTTCTAACACACAGCCATCAAAAGGAACTGGTTTTGGTCCTGCCTAATATAGACTGAATTCATGTAATTTGGAAAAAAAAAAAGAAGGAAAAAAACCACACCACAGTTCATTGGCATTATCTGAGCTAAACAGACACACATACATACACTTGATTCCAATTTTATAGTGGTCTGTAGGAGTACCCTGCTTTAGGCAATTTATAGTTTTTTCTAGACACCTGTGAAGTTTTCAGAACTTTTTAAGAAAGCCTTAAAAAACCCTTAAAAACACAAGAACAAGTAGGAACAAGCAGATTTTTACATTCTTGTTTAGTCTTGGAATGCTGCAGCATGATCCAGATCATAACTCAATCTAGTTCAAGACTGAAGTAGAGCTTTCCTTTGATAGCAAGAATTAGTTTGAAAGATGCAGATGGCAGACTATTTTAGCTGGTAAGTTTTACTTGTAAAAAAAATTATTATTTGGAATCAGGAAGAATAAACTAGACAAAAAGGATTCATCACGAAATACCCAGACAGGATAGTTTACCTAATCATCTCCAAACATGATTTAATGACAAATTATTTGGGCTGTATGAAGTAACACCTATTACAGAGGTGTTATTTTCCATCTTGTTACACTCCAGTTTTGCACTGATTAAACTCCAGTTAATGCCAGGGAGACGTTATTAAATCAGACCCTGAAAATGGTTGCGGGAACTGTTTGTTTCAGTGGTTGAGAACTCGATGTCGATATAAGCAGAGTATGCAGTGAATTCTGACACCACTTGACTACGTGAGATAGCTGGACACTGACGGCTTGAACAAGCCTGTACTTCCTAGATAAAAATCTCCAATACTTTTCAGCAAAGGCGTTTTATAAAATAAAACACACCTTATACCTGAAGTTGCATTTTTACGTTTTATACATTGCCATAACATTAAAGGTAGCTTAATATAATTAATAAATTAATAAAGTTAGATCTCATGTCATCGCAACAAGTTACACACTTGCATTTGATTGTATTTCAAATACTTAATTTTCCTGCCTTTCAGATCAGCCTAATTCTCTACATAGCTCTCAAGGTCCCATGACCAGTCAGGTTAATGAAGCCCTGTTTGCTGCCTTCCCTGAGAACCAGCCTGTTGAGAGCTGTGAGACCTCATTTACACCTGCTGATAATCTAGAGAGAAAACTTCAGCGTGAATACAACTACCATGTGTTTGGGAACCGGATGGATAAAGCAGTTCCACCTGTAGTATACACCCCTGAAATGAGAGAGGAAGAAAGGAGACGAAGGGTTTCCTACGACCCATTTGCAAAGTCACCTCCTGCTCCGCAATGGAATGAACCGTATCCAAGAGCTGAAAAAACAGGATCAAACACTAGCCCATATCTTTGGCCACAGCCAGCTGCAGCAACACCGAAACGGGGAAATGTGGATGTTTTTTATGGGCCACGTCCTAACAGTCTTCCAAAAGGAAACACGGAAGGCCTCTATGGATTGTGTCCAGCCAGTACCTTTAGCCTAAGTAAACCTCCCGTGCCCGAATCTGGCCCAAACCTGCAGTCACAGACCAATGTAAACTGGTATCCAAAGGGTGCAGACACAGATACAGGTGAGATTCCTCCTCGACCAACACCCATGTTTCTGAAGACACACTTGTTCTCAAAAAATGAAGTGGCCAAGAGTGTTTTGTAGTTTATGTAACCACCACCTGTCTACTGCTAACAGTTGATCTGTGATACAACAGTGAATTTATCTCATTATGTTCTCTTTGCTTACTTGAAGATAATTCAGGTTGCTAAAACGCTCTAGCTTTGACTTCTTTATGCTGCTTTCTCTGGTTTCAGGCTGTTAACTTCAAGTGAACCACTTCCAAAGCATCAGTGTAACAGGAGCATCAGACCCAATGCCTAACTTCAGCTACCCGCCAATTAATAGCAGACAGCAGATTGAGCTGCTACCAGTCATTCTAGGAAAGCAAAGGAAAACTTTTGACTCTCAAAAATGTAACTTTCATATCGTAGTTTCTGCTTGTGCAGAAAAAAACATTTATTTGTAGCATTTCAGAAAATAGCTGATGTTTTTAGCTTGATTTGGAGAAGGTGAGAGACTCCTGAGCTCAGGGAACCAACAAGGAGCTAAGGCTCGTAACTGGTTTCTCCAGAGAGCTCTGCCTGGTGCTGATGAGGAGCTTCTGTTGGCTTTTGCTAGTGAGCTGTGGAATAAAAAGGTATGGAGACAAAGGAGGAAGAGAACACTGAACATTGGCAGAAAAAGTATAAATAGATGGTAACTAGAGGCCTAAAAGATTTAACTTTCAGGAACTAGACATAGCCTGAGATACATTAGCCTGCTTCTACTAAATACTGGATATTTTTACTGTGTCATTCTTTTCCAGATTGTCTCACAAGAAAACTAAGGATGCCTGTTTACAGGCAGAATGCCACAAAGGTGTTACTCTGGTAAATTATTTATGCAGAGTCTGTGATTAGTTGTTTATGTGAGTTTATTTACTGAAATGAATGTGAAAGATGTCATGTCAGAAGACAGGGATTAGAACTGTCCACGTCACTAAGAAAGTGACATCTGTTTGAAAGAAAAAATGAAACAGTTACTATAGGGAGGCTGCATGCAATAGCATGACAGATATGGGACTGTGATGCAGAAGAGCTGCGTTGCAGCTCACGTCAGGTGACCATAACCCAGTCACTTTTACTAGCCTATCATGAGTTGCAGAGTTCATCTGTGGGCATCCACATCAATTACTGCACTGTGCAGAAGTTACGTCTCTGCCAGACATTCCTGTCACCAGCAGAAGACACAGTGGTGTCCCATGCCTTTGCTGCAGCCAGTCACAAGCAGCCTGCTAATCCAAACTGCAGTCAGTCAGTTGCAGCAGTAAGCAGCAGGAGTTTGGAATTTTCCAATCTGAATGCCCAATACGAGACAGCTCAGTCCATAACTGCTGTGTGCTGGGATCTCACACTGCCATGTACTAGCCAGGTATTCACCAAGATGACTAAGGGAGTGGAACATCTCCCTTATGAGGAAAGGCTGAGGGAGCTGGGTCTCTTTAGCTTGGAGAAGAGGAGACTGAGGGGAGACCTCATTAATGTTTATAAATATGTTAAGGGCGAATGTCATGAGAATGGAGCCAGGCTCTTCTCAGTGATGCCCAATGGTAGGACAAGGGGCAATGGGTGTGAGCTGGAACACAGGAGGTTCTGCTTAAATTTCAGAAGAAACTTCTTTACAGTGAGGGTGACAGAGCACTGGAACAGGCTGCCCAGGGAGGTTGTGGAGTCTCCTTCTCTGGAGACATTCAAAACCCGCCTGGACACCTTTCTATGTGATCTCATTTAGGTTCCTGCTCTGGCAGGGGTGTTGGACTGGATGATCTTTCGAGGTCCCTTCCAATCCCCAACATTCTGTGGTTCTGTGATTCGTACACCCACGTGGAAGCTCATCATCCTCACTGGGATCCAAGGATGGTTAAGGCTATTAGTCACTGAGCAAAAGCATAAGGGCATTGCTTTAACTAGAGTTATTCAAGGAGATACAATCCTGTTAATTAAAAAGCTTCTCATCTCTTTGTACTTAAGAGCACAAGTTATGTACTCATACTGCTACAAATACAGCAGCCATTTTTAAAGTACATTTGCTTTTTATTTACATAATGCTTTTGGCATTTTTTGTTTTCCCTCTTTGTTTAGGTAACAAGGATTCCACTTCTTTCACAAGGGGAGCTTTTACGTATTATCCTACTGCAGCCAGACTAAGCTCAGGTAAGTGCTGTAGCCTTCATCTGTACTGGTAGCCAACAGGCTATGCATTGCATCTTGATGTAAAATAAAGTAAAAAACTCCAGGATCTTGAAATCATTTATCTTACTGCTTAATATCTTTAACCATTGCTGAAGTTATCAGTAGCAGTATGTAAAACTAATTCCTGTCTCTATCAGGACTTGTACAAACTTAAGTGTGTATTTGACGAATCAAGGACAACATCATCTTGTATGTAAAAGAGCTTTTAGAAACATGAAGCCATTGTAAGATCTCTGGTACACCTAAACGAGTCACTTTCTTAGACTAAACATCAAGTTGCTGTGGCACTACCCAGCTCCTGAACCACACGTGCATTTGGGACATCTGTCCTTTTTTGCTCTGGGTTGTTAATACAAATCTCTAGCTGCAAGCTTCGTGCTGATCAGCCTTCCCTGGGGCACAGGTCTCTACAGTTCAACTCTCTTAAATCCCTGAAATTCTGTCCTGTCCTTCAGGAGCTGTTAATATATGCTCCTTTCAAACTGTGTTGCGTGGGGCACCCTGAACTCTTTAACTAACCCTTTCAAGGCTTGTCCAAGTTTGTAAGTGGTTTACACTTACAAAGAAAACCTGAAACACCAGGTTTCTGTCTTCTTTGCTGTATGCCACAGAGTCTTCAGATGATGACCCAAACGTCACAAGCAAGCAAAGTGTAAAGGTTAGGGAAAGGAGATTTATAAGCACAGTAATTTTTACTGTTAATATTGACAAAGCATTTGTACATGTTTTCATACCTTGTGCTGGATTCATTTTGTTACCAGGTAAGAAAATAGCAAACATATGAGATTTCTTCATTTTTTAGCTAAAAATATGAACATATTGTCTGGGTTCTTATCTTAAAAAAAAAAAAGTACAGGAATCATAATATTTTGAGAAATTATAAAATGCATTCCTTTTGTGCAACTTGTAGAAACCAATATGCATACATATAAGTATTTCTGACTAGCAATTTCAGGTTAACAAATATTAAATGCATTTAGTCAGATTTTCATATGCGCCCACACTTCACATTCCAATTGAGCGTGTAACAAGGATGTTTCTGCATCTAACCATTTTGGTAGTTAAATATAGAGCTTGGTCTATCATTTTAAGTATCTGTACTTCAATTTTAGACCCAGGTTGTGGTATTTGGTCTCTGGGTTGCCCAGAGAAGTTGTGGATGCCCCCTCCCTGGAAGTGTTCAAGGCCAGGCTGGATGAGGCATTGAGCAACCTGGTCTAGTGGAAGGTGTCCCTGCTCATGGCAGGGGGGTTGGAACTGGATGATCTTTAAGGTCCCTTCCAACTCAAACCATTCTATGATTCTATATTTACCATTTAAACTAGAGTTAGAACATTTAATGGATGATTATCCAAACAGAGTTCAGAAAATATTGCCAAGACAATATTTGTCTTCCACAATTTATCTGTGCAATTGGTGCCTGTATGTCTTGACGTTTATCACTGTAAAATAAAGGAGTAGGGTTTTTTGGTAAGGTGTCTCTGAAAACATTCTAGTCTTGCCTTAGAACCAAAAGTACAAAACGGGAAAAATAAAAATTTTAAAAAAAAAGATAAATGTTGTTGAAACAAACACTGGGCAAGTAGTGCACTATGATTCACTGTGAAAACAGATACAACTGAAGAATATATTCCTAGATAGCAGGGATGAAATACACCGTGAAACAGATGCCACCCAGACAGCACAGTGTAACATGGAGTATAGAAACCTTATGAGCAACTAGACATTATTTTCTGTAGTCTCACAGAACTTTGAAATCATAACCATAAACCTGAACTGACATCCATGAAAAGTAAAGCTGAGAGGCAGAAGTAAGGCTGTAAGATTTAAATGAAAAGCACTTCCAAGTAAAGACCTCCTGAAGCTGTTAGCCAACAAAAAGCGAGGCTGCTACAATACATTCCTAAAGTGCAGGGAAGATTATTTACAGCCTAGTAACTCCCAGCACGTAAGGCCTGGCTATGGCACTTTGTCAGAGAACAGGGGTATGGGCTTCACTCAAAGTACATTTATGGCACACTGCATAATAAAGCATGCTCACAGTTGCCAGAAAATGGCCATTTCTACATTAAATTCAATAAAACCATTTCATCATTTCCCTGATTAACAAACCTTCTTCCTCCTTACCTCCTCCTTATGTTACTTCTTGACATTTTGAACCATATGCAGTTGTTTATAAAATGGTATTAAATTCCCTTATACAGATGATTCAATCAAGTACAACATCAGTAACAGTTCTGGAATTCAAATTGGATCCTACAATCACATGAAGATCGACGACCACAATCAATACATCAGCACTTCTCCTGTTGCTTCAGAGGCAACTTATATGCATTATGAAGCAATGGGTATATTTGGTAAGAGAATTCTCTCCCTAGTTTTGATGTATTCTCCCCACCTATTTATCTGGTATAGCTTTCAGAATATCTTTATATATACATATATAAAGATATATATTTATATATATATAAAAAGATTATATATATAAACAAATATATTTTTTTTATCTGGTATAGCTTTCTCCTTTGGATACTTGAGAAATATCTGTTTGGATCCTTTTCTACTGTATACTTAAGAGTGTGTAAAACAAGTAAGGGTTTGTGCTAATACTGTTCTGTAATACCACGTGCCTCTTTTGTCCTATAGTTTCATGACCTCTTAGGACACACCAGATGCAAGTATAGATGTGCATGCATCAAGAACCAGAGGAATAACACCACTCAAATTGGTAGAAGCAAGGTTAGGGTTGGTGGTCCTCACCTGACTTATAGTTTAAATCATAGGATGTCCTGTGTTGGAAGGGACACATGAACATTGAGTCCAGTGCCTAGCACCACACAGGGAAACCTAAAAGTTAAAGCATTTATCTAAAAACATTCTCCAAACACTTCTTGAACAGTGACAGGCTTGGGGCCACGACCACTTCATTCAGGTAGAAATTGGAAGATTTTGAGATGTAATTTATTTTCGTTGGTGAATACTGAATTAAACTGTCCCTGTGTATTTCTAATTAAACAGATTAATAGTGTCACAAAATATAAAGCATATCATACAGAGTCAGCTGTACAAGAACTCTAGGAAGGAGCTTTTCAATTTTGCAGGTTAAGTGACAAACGATGATAGCCTCAGATCAAAAAGCAAGTCCAGCAAGTGACTGAATACACGTGTTCTGGTTCTGTTGGGTAATAATGCTTCCACAAACCCCACTTCTGACACGAAAATTCTGTCTCCAGATATTACCAGCAAATAGCTCGGGGAGGACAGGTGAGATAATGAAAGGAGCAGAAATGTTAAACAATGCTTTTCTTTTTGCAGACAATAATACTGTCCTGACTGAGAAACATCTGAATCTGGTGAGAGAGAAGTTGGCTAAGCAGTGGAAACACTGTGCTCGTAAACTGGGCTTTTGTGATCCCGAGATTGATGAAATTGATCACGACTACGAACGAGATGGACTGAAAGAAAAAGTTTACCAAATGCTGCTTAAGTGGGAAATGAGGGAAGGCTCCAAAGGCGCTACAGTTGGAAAGCTTGCCAAAGCCCTCTTCGGCTGCCAGAGACTGGATCTTCTTACTAGCTTGATGCAGATCAATGAGGAATAAGTTGACTGAGAACTGGGGGAAAATTAGGGTATTTTTTCCTGAAGACCTTCCAGTAACAAGTAATAATTCTGAACAGACTTTGTGGAGCTCTCCTTTTTGCACTGACTTTTTGGAATACATTTTTTTCTGCCAAGTAGTTTTCAGTGGATACCTCCAGGAAAGCAAAAAGTTTATATCAAGATAATTGGTCTTCCAGAGGAGTAAAGAAGCATCTTCCTCCTGAACAAAATGATTGTCCGAAGATGATAACCAAATGCAAGAGTAATATCATTTCAAGGAGAACACGTTATACAAAATTTTGAGATTCTATCTTGAAATATGTTGGCACCCTAAACAAAAGTGTGTCATTTCAGCAAAGCTAATATATCAGTAATAATATGTGAAAGACTGACTTACTCCTTGAAAAACTTGGACAGAAAACAAAATCAACTCTTAAATTTTGCCAGAAGTGCCAATACTTACAAGGGTACTATCCCAGATTGCTCTAAGCCAATATATTATTTTTAAAATCTTTTTATAATGTTTATAAAATACAGATGTCTGGAATTATGCAGAAGAGCAGTGTGAATAAATGCAAAAATTATTTTTGGCTTAAAAAAAAAGTATATAATTGATAAAATACTCTTCTTTCACAGATTAACATTGCAATAGATTTTTACATTGCTTGGTAGAAAAGAGTTCCCATTACAAGTTTCTCATCTGCTTGGTGAAATAGTGAGAAAGGAATCAATCATCATGAAATCCAAAGTAAAAACTTGGGAATAGGAGAGCTTTGGGAAGGGGAAAGTGTGTTATTACCACATGAGAGAAGACTCATTCTCCTACTCACTCTGAGGCCTCAGAATGTTACTGGTTTCTGAATCTCAGGCTGCATTTATAGTAGTAAATTAAATGTGCCTGGGAATGTTCCTGGGTGCTGAGACTAACTGGCATGCCACAGCCTGCTGCCAGCATAGCAGATTCTTTAAGCCTCAAAAATATTGTCCAAGGGCTATTTCACGGTGCTGAGGTTGTGTCAGGGAACACTGGAACAGCTCTAGCGTAGGTGATGGTATCCCAGTGCCTGGGAATGTTCATTGCCACTCTACCTTACTAGCATTCACATAGTCTCAGTGTACAGTACCTATGAAAGTAGAATTACTGAGCTGTAAATTTTTATGCCCTAAGAATAATTATGCCAAGCTCTTCCTATGAAGGATGATACCAGCTGCTTCCATCAAATCTACAATATTTTGATCAGATGTTTTGGACCAGCTCATTCTTTATGCTGCAGAAAAAGCAGAAAGCGTTCATTACCTTCTGGTTATTGTCAAAAAAGCTAACAATTTAATAAAAGCATAGTTAGAATGGATTTCTGCTCTTTGATACAGCAGCCACCACTTTAGTAGAACCAAAATGAAACTGGAATCATAGCAAGCACCAACATATTTGTCATTTTTAAGCCTACTTAGCACCAGGCAATAGTGGAAATGGCCCTGTGATAGTTTAACTGAGCTGGCAGCCAAACAAGACACAGCCACTCACAGCCCCCCGACGTCCACCCAGGGAATCAGGGAGAGAATTGGAGGGGTAAAGGTGAGGAGACTTGTAGGTTGAGATAAGAACAATTTAATAATTAGATTTAAAATAAAATTTAAATAATAAGAATAGTAAGAGTAATAATGATAACAACTATATAGATAGATCGATATAGATATATCTGAGTGATGCAGAGTACAATTGCTCACCACTCACTGATAACGATCCCAGAGGAGCAACAAGGAACCCCGAAACCAAAATCGCAATCCCAGAAAAGCGAGCCTGAGCGATTCCTGAGAGAATCCCCATCCTTTCTGGTCAGCCCCAGCTAATACACTAAACATGACATAATATGATATGGAACATCTTATTGGCACATCAAACTGTCAGTTCTGGGTTTTACCAACTACTACACTTTTTTTCTCCACTCTCCCCTTCCAGTCCTCTCTTCTGGGAAGCTGCCCAAGCACAGTGTCTTTGTAGTTATCAACATTGTTCTCATAACAATCCTCACTGAAACCAAAACACAGCGCTTTATAGCTACCAAGAAGAAAATTAACCCCGTCCTAGCAAAAACCAGGACAGGCCGCCAAAAAGGAGAGTTTAGCAGAAATCAATACAAAGAGTGTGTCATCCACCCAGACACTGGAGCATTTATATATTTATTGTTAATGTATGCTGAACCCCATCCTTTCCACTGAGGCCAGCTTGGGGTGTATCAGTACATACCAGTGAATTCCTCATTTATTGCATTGCCTTACTCTTTGACTTAGAAACATGCTAAGCTAAATTTTCTAAAACTCCTGAATATAATAGACAGATAAAAGACATAATTCTGTCATATAATGAGCATACACTTTACAGAATAATAATTTACTCTTCTTGAAGCAGATGGAGAAATATATGGGGCAGGAGGGAGTCTTCTCCTCTGTGTCAGTCTACCAGCTACTACATTACTTCATGAAACAGATTCCTGAAGCAAAACCCATTCATGTTCCAGTAAGGTTGGTGTCACTGTATTGCTACATCAATTCCCTACCCTCCCCTTTGCTTTTAAGTCTCATATACCTATAGTCTTTACACAATATGCTGGTTTTCCATCACAAGATCCTTGTCTTATTTGGTACACAGAATGAATTGTGATCCTTTAATGGACATACACTAAATACTTCATTTTCTCTTCATTAAAAAAACCCAAGGCTGGACCTTGTGTTCTGAAACAACAACAAAGATGTACAGCATAAACATGAAGCATCTCAGAACAAGATTTAAGCGTAGGACAGCCCTATATCTTTAAAGTGAGATGTGGCAGACAAAGGTCATTTTAGCTCTGGTGCTGCCAAGTCCAATTCTATAGACTAGTGCTCCTAGTTCAGGTGACGTTGTAGATGATGGAGAAAACAACCATAAAACTAAGCTAGAGACAAACTCTTTCAGAACAATGTTTACAGAACTCAATCACAGAGAACACGATTCGGCTTCCTGGGCAGAAAATAAAGTACTACGAGCTCTTTAGCATATTGTGGAAAAACACATGATAGGATCCAACACCTGGAAGCTGCAGTCAGGCATGCCAAAATTAGGTACATATTTAATAATAAGGGTGATTTAACTACTGGAACAAACTATCTAGGGACTCTGTGGATCCTCTTGATATCTTTTAATTAAGACTGTTCATGTTTGTTAAGATTGATATAGACAAAAACAAAGCTATAGGTCTCAATACAAGGTTAACTAGGTAACACGCAAAATATCAGAGCATACAAGAGGTCCAAAGAAAAGAGCTAGTGCTCTCCTCTGGCCTAAAAATTTACATAAGTGTTAAGTATGGCAGAAAGAGATCAGCTAATATTAACTTACTGGGTTGTTCATCTACCAGCCCCACCACTCAAAAAAAAAAAAAAAAAAAAAAAAAAAAAACAAGGGTGGAGTTGATTTTTGGAAAGCAACTTATCGTGACAGATCAAAAATGCAACAAAATAACGAGGTCAAGGAAGAAAGAGGGAGATTTGTTACGGCACAGATCAGATCCCCTTCATAGCAAAAGAAAGAAGAGAAAGGACAGAACGGTAATTTCACATCAAACTGGCAAGCTGTCAGCCTCAAGGGCAGCGTGGCAGTAATGCAGCAACCTTACAGAGATTTTTCATAAGATGTACCAGGTGCAAGCCAGGCAGGAAAAGGCTGTGGGTTGCAGCAGCAGACCTCCTCATGGTCTCTCCTTGAAGAACTTATACAGCAGGTGAACTCATCCACTTACACACAAGGACGTTATGTTTTCCCATTTTAAAAGACTTAGAGCTTTGAGACTTTAGATCATGGTTTTATTGCTAGATGAGTTCTGCTGACAGAAAGCACTAGTTTAAGATATCAAAGAGTTTTTAACCTAGAATTCTTGTGTTCCTTGGAATCACTTGCTTTTGCTTTCTTGTTTACTCTAGGAAGCAAGTCTAGGAGCTTTTTCAGCAGAAGCAAAGCTAGAACACTGTTTAACAGCAACCAGTTAAATACTATCCAAGTACAGCCTCCACCCCATGGCAACAGTCATCATTACACAGCAGCCAATCTGTGCTGAAATTCTTACATGCAGAGAGGATTAGCGTCCAAGTAATTCAGGGCAATTTATTTGGTTAATTTTGTTACTGTGTCCCCACTAACAGTGTGGAAGCAGCCAAGAATTTTGGGGAATTTTTACTGCTTCCAAAACAGTTGCTAAATAATACCAATTAATAATGCTGAATGAAAAACTCAGAGAGGACACTGTTGCAAGTATTTGATATGGGAACTTTGAATTGAGCTGGCAACACACAGCTCCTCTTCCTCAGAGGCCGGTTTTCCAAGGAGAGGCAATACTTGAGAACTTGGCCTCTGACCAAGCAGTTTTAAATAAACTATGTCACTTTTCTCTGACACATTTTTCATCATTATACTACAACAAACCAAAACCTTCTTTCCATCTGCCTCCAAGGCTGAAAAGAAAGTAAGAATCTCAGAGTCTCCGAAACATGCCCAGCCTTGTACGTGGTGAGAAGGAGCTACAAGGAAACAGGGCAGGAAGGATCACCCAGTACAAGCAGGGCCACATCTGAGCTAACTAGCACTTGGGAGGGCTTTCTTCCCCGGGTCCTACTGTACCCTTGGCATTTTTTCCACCCCTTCCTCACCCCAGTCTCTACAGACTACAGAAAGTGCTCCTCGCAGCATGCCAGGTTTCCCTCCCAGCATACCAATGAGCATCAGGAGTCAGCCGACTGACACTCATTTGTTCCTCACCACAAAACAGCAGCTAGGGAAAGCACAGTTCTCCTGCTCTATCCTCAATACAGCCCCTGGGGAGAAGGGAAGGAGGAGGTTAGGATCAGAACAGGGTCTGGAAGCCGTCTTTGTGCTGGGGGAAGTATTGCCTCTGATTGAAATAAAGCAGACCAGAGCCCTGACTCATGCTGGGTTTCCCTCTCCTCTCCCACCCCTCCTCTACACCT